ACTGACCTGATCTAATGCTTATCTTATGGTCCTCCACTGGTGCCCCACCAGCGTAAACCGTTAGTGCAGCGGATGCGGATGCACCATTCCATTATCATCCATAAAAAAAACCAACCAACGCAGGGAGATTGTTAATAATGTGGACTGATGATCTTATTGCTTATGGATGCTTAAACTTTCATCGTACTAGCTTAAAAAATGACGATTTTCCATACAAACTTTTTACACCTATTTATTTCACCCTCTTAAGGGTAAAATTTAAATAAACTTTGAATTACACATTTATTTATTTATATTTCATCATCAGCTTAAACATAAGTTTCATGCTTTTATCTTTAAAAATTACTATACTTGCATACAATCTATGGGCTTTCTCAGGGTCTAGACTATCTGTGTACCAAATAAATCAGTTCAGTAGTTTTGACATGAAAGCCAGACAGACAGAATTACTTTGGCATTTATCTATACACATAAATTAAATTGCAGTGAACCGTTTTTTACTACATGCATATGAATATAAATAATATATCCACCAAAATAACATTTTTTTTAATTTTTGTCCTTCTGTCTGTTTGTTCCGGCTAATCGAATCTCTGAAATGGCTGGACCGATTTTCTCGGGAATTTTTTTGGCAGGTAGCTGATATAACAAGGAATAACTTAGATACTTTTATTTTAGAAAAATAAAGTTAAAATACCACGCGGACGAAGTCGCGGTTGCAGCTAGTTCTATAAATAAATAAGGATTTGCTTTCCTTGATCGTTATAAGTCATATAAGAGATACGAACTCTGGAGTGATGGGGCTGCCCTCCTCCTCGTGCAGGTCCGGGAGCCGCTCGAGCCCGAGGCACTGCCGCCGCAGCAGGTCCACCTCCGCCTTCAGCGGCCGGTAGTCCTCGTGCAGCCGCGACGCGGTCGACAGCTTGCGCGTCATGCTCTCCTCTGTCTGCTTTATTACAGTCTCCATCTGTAGAATATAACACAATTTCTTTATGTATATAGAAGGCAAATATAGGTCTTAACATATAAAATTGGAGTTTTGTAACGGAGTACTTAACCTAAATTTCATTATTATTGTGGTCTCATTAACTCAGCTATTGCTCGTTATTTACGCTTTATAGCGTATACCATTATGATTATTTATTCATACATTTACATATTCTCGAATTTCTTCTGTATTATAGGTAAGAGTTACGGGTACTGCCCAAAATAATAATAAATTTATTATAACAATACACCAAAGGTTCCATAACTACCTAATATTAATAAAAGGTTAAAAGCATCAGATTAGTCAAAAAAAGATGCTAACATCCAATATATATGACGTAGCTGCTCCCGCGACTTCGTCCGCGTGGAATTTAACTTAATTTATCTATAATAAAAGTAGCCTAAGTTACTCATTATTACATCAGCCAAAAGAAATCGGTCTAGCCATTTCAGAGATTACGAGATTCAGCCGGAACAAACAGACCGACAGACTGACAGACAAAAATTGTAAAAAATGTTTGGTGTATGTACCGTATTCATATTCAACTACATGTAGTAAAAAACGGTTATTTCAATATAACAAACAGACACTCCAATTGTATTTATAGCTATAGATGTATAGATAAACATCTAGCAGGATTTGTACATTTAATAGCTAAATGAAAGATCGTGACACAGTCAGTGCTGCAGATTGGATGATGGAATCCCAGCCTAAATCCAATGTGGGAGAGATCACTGATAATGAAAGCAAACAAATGATACTCCGCCAACAATAGCGTTGCGGCGGCCTCTCCGCCCGCCTACACAAACAAACAGTGGCCCACTGTACACCTGTTATTTATACGACACACATTCCTAACGCTATTACTGCCCACCAATACATTCAACTATTGCTGGGAACACGCGGGGGAGGGTTGAGAGGGGGTGATGTTATTTTTTTTATAATTTTATATTATTTATTATATAAAATTTTATAATAGAATGACGCACCCACCTGCAGGGGCGGATCTACATAATTGCTTTTTGGGCTGCAGCTCAGGGCCACGAGGATACAAAGGGCCCCCAGTCCCCACAAAAACGATACCATTACATAGTATAAAACAAAGTCGCTGTCGCTGTCTGTCCGTTCCTATGTATAGGAACGGACAGACAGCGAAAATCAGCTTAAATCTTTACGTAACGGATTTTGAAGTTTTTTTTAAATAGATAACAGTGATTCGAGAGGAAGGTTTATGTACATATATAATACATGTACACCCGTGCGAAACCGGGACAAGTAGAATATAAAAAAATATCTAGAATGTTAAAAAACCTCATTGGTTTTTTAAGGTCGGCAACCCTGAGATCAATCAACACATGTCAATGAAAGGAACAGAGAATTTCTGGTCACTAGTTTTTGGTAGGTATTTTTTTAGCTGAGTAATATAATTAGGTAGGCCCCTAAATAGATTTAGCCCAGGGCCCCACAAATTCACGATCCGACCCCGCCCACCGGCGCTTACTGTACACTGGCGGGGCACCAGTGGAGGATGATAAGATGAAAAAGGTCAGGTCAGTTAGCACATCCTGACAAATTCAATGGAATTTTATCAGAATAATTTCCATAGGGGAATGCGTGGAGGTCAACCTGACATGGTACATTGCTAGCAATAAAATCAATCCGCATTACTAATAATGCCCCTTCCCCCCTAGGGGGTGATGTTAGCAATTGAGTCTCTTTTTAACGGTTTACGCTGGTGGGGCACCAGTGGAGGATCAGGAGAATGAGCAAAATGTCAGGTCAGTTACTCCACCAGGACAAATTGCCATGAATTTATTGCGCGCTGAGCCGCACAACTTCATTAGCATCCCTCTTAGGATATGCATTACTATATTATTCATCATTCACATAATATCTCCTCAAATTGAAATCCGTTCAGAACTTTTTCAAAGAGTAACAAACATCCATCCATTCTCACAATCTTTTGCATTTATGATATTAATATTATTATTTTTTTATACTATGTTGGTGGCACATCATAGACTACAGATGCTTGAAACAGCAGAGCATCACGTGAGTGTTGCAGACTCTTTTAAAACCTGAGTATACTAACAGCATTGATGTCTGCATGTATTTGGCGCAGCTCCTCCACATGGCTCATCTTCTCCTGCTGCAGCAGCTCCATCTCCCGCTTGTACTGCGCCAGGCACCGCCCCTCCTGGTCCCCGCTGCGCACCTCATTCAAGATGCTACGCTTCAGTCGCTCCAGTGTTATTGTTTTATTTCTAATTAACACAAACAAAGCACATTTATTTCTAGACTCTAATGATACATGGCTTCGTATGGGTAATTATTACAGGTACTAATTTCTGTGACAACGTCACTATTTTTCTATGACAATGTATGTACCTCCTACAAGTGATAGAATTTTTAATTTTGTTATAATTGGAATAGCAAACACACTGCTACATCTGTTGGTGAGTGGTAACTTCGCCTTACAAATACAAAGCAATTAGTTTAGCGGTGAATGACTTTTTTTGTCCATCTATCATTACATAGTATAAAACAAAGTTGCTGTCGCTGTGTCCCTATGTAATGCTTAAATGTTCAAAACTACACAAGGGATTTTGAAGCGGTTTTTTTAATAGATAGAGGGAGGGAGGTTAAGGATAAGAGGGAGGTTGATATATATAATTCATGTACACCCGTTCGAAGCCGCGGCGAGTAGTTTGTTACAAATAAAAATAAAAGCTGCAAAAGTAAATTTTACTCTATATATAAATAATACAAAAGTTATAATTTAAATATATTATTATTATAAGAAATATTAAAGCGATATATTTCGAATTTTAATACGAAATCAAAACGAACTAAATATTAAATGTTTTCACCTACGTCCATAAAGTCTTATTGCCATAACTTGTTAACAACATACTGTATACATAAAATTATAATATTTATAAGCTTCAGCGACCAGTTACTGTATCTTTGAATAATAAAATTGTAATGTATGAATCCGTGACTTTCAGTGTTTATTGATCCAAGTCCACAGGTGCGAGCGAACAAATTTAAATCACGGCATTGAAAAATTAAATTAAGTACCTTATTTCTTTCATGGCTTCTAGCTTGTGATAAATTTCACGTTCGTTTTCAGCGGTCATTTCTTAATATAATGCCTTAGTAATAGAACCGCAGTCCTAAAATAAATTAAAATAATCGGTGAAAACAAACAGCCAAATTCAATCCATGAGATAAAATATGTTGCCAGAATAATTATAAATTCGTAGAGATAATGTTGCCAATGTGATCAGATTTAAAAATAATAATAAGAAAGTGCTAAAATAATAGAAATATTTTTCTTTGTAGTTATTTTTAAATGATCGTTACAGATTCACATTTATCTAGTTACGTCTATTAATGAAGTAGTTATGGTTATTATATGTTATACCTGTAAATTATTACATTTAAAATTGACAGCAAAATTAAGTCACATTATATTACGTTTAACTGCTATGCCACAGAGGTCAACAGTAATTGTTACAACCAATAAAAAAATTGTTAGTTTTAAACAGGAACACAAATAACAATTACAAATAATTCTTTTTTATAACCATTAGGCAAATTTTGTTTATTTACTCGACCGCAACAACTATATATTTAAAATAGCCGTTCTGAGCGATAAATCATTGTACAACCTAAAAAACAAAAACAGAAGATCTAAACGAAATTTCAGTAGCTGCATTACTTTTTATGATGTATAAATTAGGATTAATAAATAAGGATTTTTTTTAATTATCACTTAAAGGTAGACATAAAAGTTATTTGAAATGAATATTTAAATCTAACTGTGAAATAGAGGCTGAAATTATTGAAAGCGTATATGACGAGTACTTAGTTTTTGAAAATTCTACGCCTCACACATTTTAAATGTTTATTTTGAACTATAAGTGATGCGTGACAACTTAAAACTGATCACAATGAACAACACTATTAACATTCTCTCTCTTTCGCTCATTTCTCATCTGAAATGAAAATGGCCGATTAACCATCAATAGCGGCTTGCTGTCAAAATACTATACTATAATTTTTTAGATAACGCGTATGCAAGAATTATCAACAATAGATGTTTAATTATATTAGCTAACTAAATGAACGTAAGAAGTCTGGTAACAGATGTGAAAATAAATCTGCAAAGGTCATTTACACCTTTGCAGTGTCGTGCTTCGTGTCCCGCGTACTGATCATCCAAAGTGGTCGCTGTTTACATCTTCTGACAAAATGAGCGACGACGGCAGCGAAGATTCGCCGCCGCGCCCGAAGCGCAAAATCAAGAAGGTGATGGTAGTGCCGTCCGGATCTAGCTCGGACAGTGACGAAACAATTGGTCCCACTACTACACGTCGCAAGAGATTGAGGGTAACCCAAGTCGCAGTTGCAACTTGTGATGTTGATTCAATCGTGATGTGTTGTATTACTAGTGATGTGTGTCGTTTCAGGTGGTCAGCGTTGCCGAGAGTGAGAGTAGCGGTAGCTCCGTGGTGCGCGGGACGCGGCGCAGGCGGGCTATACCCAAGCTACGCGACTCTGACGGGGATAGTGACACGTCGGGCTGGGCCACCGACCACTCCACTGCCGTCAAGCCTGCGCCCACCCCCAATAAGGCTACATCTGGTTTCGCATCAGACAGCTCCGAAGGGAACTCTGACAAGTGCTCTATCTGTCTGTTGCGATTCACTGACCAGGAGGTGGGCACACCTGAGAGTTGTGAGCATATATTCTGCTTGGACTGCATCACAGAGTGGTCTAAGAATGTAAATACATGTCCTGTAGACAGAATGACATTTGATAACATAATTGTGCGTTCATGTGCCGGAGGTAGTACTCTGCGCACTGAGCCAGTGAAGGTGGTGGAACGTAGGCCCTCTGTGGACCTGTTGGTCATTGAGGATCCTACTATGTGTGAGGTCAGTATAAAGTTAATTTGCAATTGTTCATTAATATATTAATAATGGTATATTTTATGTAATAATAATAATATATTATTTAGGTTTGTGGCAGAACAAATGATGAAGAAACAATGTTGCTATGTGATGGTTGTGACCTGGGTTTCCACATGCAATGTCTCTCTCCCCCACTCACAGAGGTAATGAAATATATTATTAAATTTATAATTATAATTGTCATTGAATCCATATATTTGCCTACTGAAAATGGAATAGAATAAACTCATGAAATTATTTCCTTTTGGCAAAAATGTAATGCATGTGCTTATGGTCACTACATTAGTTATTTAGTTTATAATTTGATTTGTCTTATTATGTTAACAGGGATATATATGTTTTAGGTACCAACAGATCAATGGCTTTGTCCAAATTGTGATAATCTTTTCGTCATACACCTTTCTGAAGTTGATGATTTGTTTGATGGAATTGTCGATTTAGATTTACCATTGGGTAGTCGAGCTTCAGCTCTTAGAGAACCCAGAAATGTTAGAAGGTCATCTAGGAATATCACAACCAATGATGAGCCTTCTACATCTACTGGACGAAGGGGCAATAACTCAAATTTTGATGAACCAACCACATCTCGTGGATCCCGGGAGCCTCAGGGCTCTAGAAACTCTCATATAACAACCAGACGAAGAACTGCAGGCACACAGAGAAGAAGGTATAAACGGAGAAAAACTAAAACTGTAATTATAGAGTATGAAGTGGAAGAAAATGGCAAGTTTCCAGTCACTAAGAGAATTAAAAGAAAAGTTAAGAAGCGGCGAGTAAGTGGTTTTCTAAATTATATATAACATATAAGATATTTTATAATTAATCATTTCAATTACATGTTACTTAATTATTAATTTGATAGACAAAGAAGCGGCAATCAAGAACAGCAGCTCGACGATCATATGTGCGGGCTAGTGTACAAGCTAAGCTTGCTACTATGAAGATTGATGAGAGGCAAGATTTAGCACAAGCCTCATCTGCCAGTTGTGGAGTACAAAATTTATCACAACAGCGCCACAGAGCTGGTATCCCATCTCTAAGTCTATTTGGAAACCGAAATCAACTTGATTATTTTTCTGAAGATGATGATTTTCATGATGTTTCGGAAGGTGCTTCAACTGCAGTGGCAGCCAGGCCCACATCTAGTATTTTAAACATGTTCAGACAGGTACATATTTTAAACTTATTTTTAGGTTTTGTATTAGAGTGTTCACCAATTTGCTGAAAAGGAAAAGACTGACCCATCTGTATTGTCTATTGACTGATGTGGAATATTTATTTTTTGATGTTACTGTCAATTTGTCTCACTCTGAAGTGGTCTTAAGTGATTATATTGGAAACGTCCAACATTGAGCACCTATTGTATAATATATCTGTATAAGACTATTAACTATAAAAATAATTTGAACAATATATTTTTCAGGCTCGAAGAAAAAATATTACAATCAATTCCCCGCCTCATGCAACATCAGCACCAGATATTCTTTCAAGTATACTTGAGAGCCAAACATTATTACATTCTAAAAATTCTGTAGTTTCAATTTCTGTAGATGGCAATGTAAATATTAAACTAGAAAAATGTGAAAAAAGTAAACCTAAAAAGCAATCCAGCTCAGAGGAAAAAGTGGACTTATCAAAAGGGGAGGATGCCGCAAGGAAAGTGCCATCATACCCGGGGCAGTCCCGCGGCGGCGGTGGCTGGGGCGGCGGTTACCGCGGCAACTATCACAGAGAGCAAAGCAACACCAATAACTTTAATAGGAGCGGCAACTATGAAAACAATTATAATAGTGGATATCAAAATAGGCAAGGAAATTCTTATCAGCAAAATAATATGCGTCGTGAAGAGACAGATTCTTATGGTAACTACCTGAGGAGGCCCCACCAGTATTCACACAATGATGATAACAATTTTGATCGTAACCGAAGACAGCCTCCACAAATTGAAACCAACAGAGGCCCAAACTCAAATTTTTTACACAATCCAAACCAAAGGCACAATGACCAAGGTAGATTTAGCATGGGCCCATCCTGGCAGTCTTATGGCGGAGGCCCTGGGCCACGTCAAGACTATATGCCTTCACAATCTAGACACTCATTTGGTGGTTTTGAAAACCCTTTAGATATGAGAGTGGGTCAAATGCCCGTACAGGAATCTGCAAGTAGTGAGGACGTCGAATCATACATAGATCAGGATAGCCAAGGGCAGGATAAACCAGCGACAACATATCAGCCCCTTCCGGAGCCACCAATGTTTGAGTTCAATAAAACACCTGAAGTGGAAAAATCCGAAGATGAGAAGAGTGATTCAGGCCTTGTGATTGATACTGAAAAGTATGATCCTACGGAGCCCACTAATGACGACGATGAAGACTATAGTGGCGACGAACTTGCGGCACCCCTCCAACCACCACCTGCCATGCAAACGCCGCTGGTCTTGCAGCCTACCTCGCATCCTCAAGTGCATGACATCATAGCAGGTATCGACACCACCGGCATTAATGTTCCACCTAACGTGCTTGACACTGCGGTGAGACAGGTGATTAAGGAACATATAAATTTAATTGCTCCATCTGGTCCAAATTTAGATGATGAAAGAAGTGACGAGGACTCGGATGGGGATTGTCCTAATTTTTCTATATATTCAGCCACAAGTGTCCACATAGCTAATATCTCTAACAATGTACCTGTGGAAAAACCTAGCGAATCGCTTCATGATGGGCTCGAAGATCTTGTTCAAGAAGATGACGATATGCCTGTACCAGAAACGACTTCAGTGGCTAACATCACCTCTGTTCGTGATTTCTCTGAAGATGCTGAGAAATCTACTCCAGTCACTATGAATCCAAGTAAGCAATCTCATAACGATTTTAGTATTAAAAGAAGTCAGAAGAGGAGTACAAAGAAAAGGTTTCCAAAAGGTGCCCTATTACTACTAATACTCGTAATCCTATAAAAATAAAACTAAACACGCCTTCTTTAATCAAGAGACAAATAAACTTATATGACGAAGAGGAGGAAGACAAAAGTGAAGAAGAAATACCATCAAATGTCGACGAAAGAAAAGATGACCAAACTTCTGAGCCATTAGAAGAAGACAAATTTGTACCGCTAAAAGATAGCTCTCTAAAATCAGACAAAGAAATAGGAAATGATTCAATTGATAAATATAGCGTGTCAACACTTACTGTAGCAGAAAAAGAATCATTACAAATTGACGAAAATGAGATTTTAGATGAAAACAATAAAGCTAGAACACCACCAAAAGAAGATGATGAGATTGTAGAAAATAATGCGTCTGAAACCAATGAAATGAGTATTGATGATGTGGCAGATAATAAGGAGTTAGAAGAACGAGGTAATACTGAGATGTCTACTTGCGACGAAAAGTCAGAAGATGAGATTCACTCGGACTTCGAAAACGAAGAATTGTTAGATAAAGACATACCAGTACTTACTGAATCAGTAAAGAAAGATTCGATGGAACAAAATGAAGAAGTTCTAGAAAAAATGACCGAATCAATAAGCGAAACCGAGGACGAGCGAAGTTACACGCCCTGTCTCGATGAGAACAAATCAAAGGATACGTCGCTAGAGACGGAGAAAGAGAAGGGTATCGAGGGCCTCGACACCGAAATGATATCGGAGGACGAGGGCAACGGAATGTTCTCCGACAACGAGAAAGCGCCTTCAGAACGTTCGCGGGCCTCGCCTCGAGAGGCGCCGCCGGCGATCGACGGCGAAGAGGGAGAGATAGTGGACAAAAAGAAGGATACCAAGAGCGACGACCGAGAAGAGGTCGGAAAGAAGAAGAAGAAAAAGGAATCCAAGAAGGAAGGAAAAGAGAAGGCCAAGAGTAAAAATAAAAAAGGCGAGGTCGCGTTCAAGAAGCTCAGCAAGAGCGGGAAGGAAAGAAACTACAGGGAGAGGGACAAGGAGGAGCGCAAGGGAAAAAAGGACAGACGCGGCTCCGCCGAGATGACCGAGAAGGAGAGGCAGAAGCAGAAGCGCAAAGAGAAGAGAAAGGATCTGGAGAGATACGACGTGCGGACGGTCGTGTCCGAGAAGAGGAGGAAGCTGAAGGATCCGTTCGGGCGCGACGTGTCGCCCGGCCCGCGCTCTCGGTCGCCCTCGCCCTCGCTCTCGCGCTCCCCGCCCGCGCTGCGCTCCCCCTCCCGCGAGCGCCGCGCGCGGCTTGCGCGCTCTCCCTCGCCGCGACTCCGACGTTCGCCCTCGCCTCGTCTCCGGCGCTCGCCCTCGCCTCGTCTCCGACGCTCGCCCTCGCCGCACCCGCGACGCTCTCCCTCGCCGCGCGCTCGACGCTCGCTCTCACCGCGCGCGCGTCGCTCGCCCTCCCCGCGCTCCCGGCGCTCTCCGTCGCCCCGGCTGCGGCGCTCGCCCAGCCCCCGACTGCGGCGCTCCCCCTCCCCGCGGGCCCGGCGCACGTCGTCGCCGCGGCCGCGCCGCTCGCCGACCCCCCGCGGCCGCCGCTCGCCGTCGGCGCGGGGCTCGCTGACGCCGCGCTCGGCCACCCCCCCGCGCGCCGCGTCCCCGGCCGCGCGCCGCCGCTCCCCCCCGCGCCGCCGCCGCCCCTCCCCGCGCCGCCGGCGGTCGCAGTCCCGCGGCCGCAAGCGTCGCCGCTCCGCGTCCCCGTCGCCCGCGCCCAAGCAGAAGAGCGGCAAGAGGAGGCGCCGCGCGCGCTCCGCCCGCCGCAAGTCCCCGCGGAGGAGGCGAGCGCGGCGCGCGGCGGGGGGCGCGGCGCCCCCTCCCGCGGCGGCGGCGCCCCCCTGGTCGGGCGGCTCGCTGGACTCGCGGCTGCTGTCGCCGCGCACGCCGCCGCCGGAGCCCCCGGCCCCCGAGCCCCGCACGCCGCGCCGCCACCGCCGCACGCGGGACCTGGCCGGCGCCTGCAAGGAGGTGTTCACGTCCGGCGACAACATCCTCGTCAGCGTCAGCTTCAAGGAGCAGGAGCGCGAGCGCGACGAGGGCGCGCAGCGACTGGAGCGGCGCGAGCGGCGCCGGGAGCGCCGCCGCCGCCGCCGGCGCCGCGCGGAGCCCGAGCCGGGGGCGGCGCGCCCGGTGGCCATCATCGACCTGGAGCGCTCGCCGTTCCGCGAGCTGACGCCGTCGCCGCGCAACGTGATCGTGCTGAGCGACAGCGAACGCGGCGAGGAGGAGCCCGCGCCGGCGCCGCCCCCGGACGCGGCGGCGGGCCCCAAGACTCCGCCGGAGCCCCCGGCGGCGGGCGCGGCGCCGGAGCCCCCGGGGCCGGCGGCGGCGCCCGAGCCGGCGGAGGAGTCCCGCGGGCCCCTGACGCCGCCGGAGCCCCCCAGCTCTCCGGACGCGTACGACCCGTTCGAGCCGACCCGGTCTGCGTCCGCGTCCCCGGCCGCGTCTCCTGCCGCCAGTCCGGTGCGCACCATGACGCTGGAGGCCGCACAGAAGACCAACATGTCCGCCGACGAGGTCATCGACCGCCGGCCGCTTTCGCCCATTGAAAAGGTAACTTTTTTCTTTAGGCTCGGCACGTTGATGCGTTTGTCAAAATCTAAGTTTGGGAAAGTATGGAATTAACTTACTTAACTTTTGTAGTCATTTCGGACGTAGAGATCAAATAATTTTTTTAAATTATTACGGTTCTGGAATACAGAAATTATCGATATATACTGTGTCTGATGAAAATTATATAGTGACGTACAGGAACCATGAACGCTAGTCACATTAAATTGACAGTTGGAATATGAACTGTCTTAAGTTGGTCTAAACATTGTTCTCTCGTCTCATTTATTTGCGCTCGTAGACTTTTAAAAAAATATTTCAGTTCTCGTAATACTTCTTCTTTATGTTGATTCTTTATTAATTTCATTGTCAGTTTTATATTGTCAAAGTATAAATATTTTCGACGTTATTTTTTTTCCAATAATATATAATTTCTATTATAATAGAAGATTTTTATGTATTCGTTTACGTCGGTTAGTAATAATGGCTCGATAATGTCCGGTGAAGACAATAATTTTTCCTGCTTAATTTTTAAAATTGGAATTTATTCAAAAATGTATAGAACATCATTTTTAAAAGAAAATTAATTGTTCTATTTTTAAAATCACTATTACACGAGTCGAGAATGTTTTTTTTTTCTTAAATTAAACTACGCGCAGGCCACTCGTCGTGGCCTACCGCGTCGGTTTCCGCGACGCGGTGTGAGGTCGATCGTTAACGTGTGGTCGGTGGGTGCGCAGGTGATGGCGCTGCTGCAGTCGACGCGGGACGTGTCCCCGGAGCCCCCGCCGGCCGAGCAGCCCCCGCCGGCCGCCCCCACGCCCCCCTCCGCCCCCGCGCCCCCCGCCATGCCGGCCGCGCTGGTGGCGGCGGCGCCCGAGCCCGCGCCCGCCCCCCTCGCCGCCGCCGCCGCCCCCTCCGCCCCCGCCCCCGCCCCCGCCCCCGCCGCCGTGCCCGTGCGCATCGTGCTGCCGGAGCCGTCGCGGCCGCAGCCTCCGAAGCTGTTCCTGGCGAAGCCGTCTCCGATCAAGTCGGACCCGATCAAGCCGCTGCAGGCGACCAAGATCTCGCGGCTGCCGCTGCCGCGCGCGGAGGAGTCCCCGTACTCGCCGGGCTCCAGCGACTTCGGCGACCTGTTCTCCCCGCCCGCCGCGCCCCGCGCCCCCCGCCGCGACGCCTGCGACGGGCCCCCCCCCCGCCGCCGCCGCCGCCTGCACGCCGCCAAGGTGCCGGTCAAGCTGCGCGACAAGGGTGAACCAACATTTACTATTATTATTATTTATTCTTCATTGCGCCTTTAAAAATTGTACAATTTGCCGAGCTTCATGCCATATGGCATTCTCTACCGGCTGACCGTTAGGTGAGAACGGTAAGCGGTTGTTGGGCAGTGGTGAGAGAGGACTAATCTATAATTTTACCTAACATTGGTAAATAGGTTCTTTTTTTTATTTCTTTTTAAATTTAGGGACTTTTATACCATCTGAGTAAATACGGTGAACAAATTGCCTTAACCGCACCATCCGAAGGATCGGCTACGCTTTGTATGGCACTGACATCTAATATATTTATTCTCTTGTCTGACGTTATTCTATGTCGTAGACTCTCGTTCCTGACACACTCCATCAGCAAATGATATACATCCTCTATTGTACCACATACTTTACAATTTTGTGAATTGATTTTTTTCATCAGGTATGCACACTTTTGCACTATTTACTTGGTTTCTAAGTTTTATTCAGTCACATAAATCACTAATGAAACGCTTATCAAATATTTATTCTTTCGGAATTACGGATAGAGTCAACTGTAAACGTAGACTGTGTAAAATCCGAGGAAAATAATATTGAGATGGGCGTTCCACAAGGTTCAATCTTAGGCCCCTTTCTCTTTAATTTACATAAATGACCATATGTTAGATAAAATTGCACATATATTTGCGGATGATACTTCGTTAATGTTTAAAATTGGATGTCAAATTAATCAATTAAACGATGTTGTGCCTACACTTGTAATATTTCTGTCGACACTTAAGACCATTCCATTAGTTTACGTCTCCACTAACATAGATTTAAGTTAAGTGTAAAACCAGTCTACGTCCCGACTCTGCGTCGACTGGACGCGTTATTAATAAAACATGTAGCACACTGCCAATAAACTTAATAATGTCTAATAAATAATACAATCATTTTACCGGTATACTCACCTACATACTACAATAAATAATATATTATGTAGCGCCACCTCATCACAGTGATGATGATGTGAGAAGAGAAGAGACAGTGATGAGGAAACATGGCGCTACAATGTAAATTATGCTATCTCTGCATTGTTCAATTGGGTTACATGTACACTTACATTGGTTTACAAAACAAAGTGTATTAAATAGTCGACACTCTCGAACTTATATATCGCTTCTGTTCACAGGTAAAACGCAGGTGGGAATCAAAATAGACGAGGACAACCTGAAGATTTTGGACGATTTGCCGAGCTCCGCCGTCGAAATGCAGGTCAAGAGTAAGGTGAGGAGAGCACACATATTGAAATGAGCACACGTTTGAAACGTTTGCAGCTTAATTTATACCCAAGTACCAATATCAATATTCCTAGGTAGTACGCTAGGATTACCTAGGCTATCAATATGTACTTGTACATATTGATAGCGTAGGTAATCTAGCACATTGCTTTAATTCCAATGGTCGTAGGTTCGATTCCTCGCTCGGTACCAATATTTGTATTAATAAGTATGGTTGTTGGTTTGGTCTAGGTGCTATTTACAAAAAATATGTATCTATGTATTCATCCAGTAACCCGCAAGCTCTGCTTAACTTGGTGGGACTAGATGGCGCTGTTTGAATTGTCCTGGGATATTTATATATTAATCTATACATTTATACATATAAATAAAATTGGAGTGTCTGTCTGTAATATTGAAATAACCGTCTTTTACTACATGCATATGAATATGAATGTATATGCATACACCAAAATAACATTTTTTTAAATTTTTGTATGTCTGTCGTACTGTTTGTTCCGCTAATCTCTGAAATGGCTAGACCGATTTTGACGGGACTTTTTTTTGGTAGGTAGCTAATGTAATAAGGAGTAACTTAGGCTACTTTTATTAAAAAATAAAGTTATTTTCCACGCGGACGAAGTCGCGGAAACAGCTAGTACAAAATAAAACTACAACATATTCTGTAGTAATTTGGATACTTGTACCTGTTTCTCTTGAGAAATCTAAACTTTATTTATATGTGTATTGACTGAATGTTTCAGTTCCTGAAGAAGCTGAACCGACAGGAGCGCGTGGTAGAGGAGGTGAAGCTGGTGCTGAAGCCGCACTACAACAAGAAGCACGTCACCAAGGAGGAGTACAAGGAGATACTGCGCCGCGCCGTGCCCAAGGTACGACCCCCACCGAACTCCCGCCGACCCCCCACCGTCCCCTAATCGACCCCCACCGCCAGTCACGTACAATTAGGAGAACTCAGTCGGGATCTTACCACGATTTATTTAATTTTATTGAGTTGCCAATCTTTTGTTGGGATCAGGTCCCAATCAGAGCAACATTATATCCCAAGAACGACATGATCCCATTACTAAACAACCCTTCTCTTCATTTATTGCTGGGGTACTCGTGTAGGATGAAAGGATGACCCTGATGGTATCTGCAGTTGATTCGCGTGAAGGTCATTTGGCATATTATAAATAAATATGAATAGAAAAATTGTTTCTTCTTCAAATAAACTTAGATTTAAGCACTTTGGAATAGTCATATATTTTTGTTCAAAGCTCTTTCTACACAAAAAGTAAGAGAATTTTGTTTATTCCTTTCGAAATTTGCAAATATACATTGGATCTCGCACTAGGCGTACCTATATCTCGGGAGTCCACAAAAGAATTGCCAGATGATAGCAACTATTACAGATCAGTGAGTAAAGTAGATTTTGACATATCATAAGAATCTACAATAGACCTACACATATAAAAATATTTCAATTTGATTTTATTTGAGACCAAAATGTTAGGGAAAATATTTGGAAACGTCTGTCTCGTACCTGTATGGTTCTGCGGATTTCTTGGGCTTCAGGGTCTCGAAGATATATTCGCTAGCTTTCCAGTTTCACAGTAGGTTTAACACAGTTCTAATTTATTTTAATTCACAACAAAATGCGCGCGCGTCATGGCCGCCGTATAGTCCATTCAGTACTTTTAATTTACGATGTTAAACACGATCACAAGTTATAGGTAAAGGTCAAAAGGTCAAGACGAGTAATGTAATAGTATTAATTTAATTTAAGGCAAACTAAGCACAGATTTATTTGGAGTAAACAATTAATAGGGTGTTCCGGGTACGGAATAGGCCAGATCAAATGTAATCAGAGGTTTCCAAACCACGCTCTGCTACCAAAATGTTAGGGAAAATATGTGGATAAAATAAAATCTAACATACTACTAACCAACAAACTTGTGTAGCTCTATTAAATGAATGTTGTTACTTTATATATATTATTATTGCTAGTCTTTTTTCCTAAAACTGTATTTTTGTTAGGGTTCACATCGATATTGTCGAAAAATCTGATATTTTACATATATTAAAAGAAGGTAGTTTCATTATTACTCGGTATCGTTTAACTAGTTGCATATAACCGCCACTCATATCTTCTCTGTATAAAAGGGAGGGTTTTTGTAGGCCGCGGCATTCGGTCTTTGAGCACAGGATGTGCTGGTTGTATTTTAATTGCTAAAGTGAATTGTGTTAGAGACATAGTTAAATTAATGTTATATAGTTGTTATTTTATTATAATACATACTTTTACTAGTACATAGAGTTGATATATCTAACATTTTATACATTTTTATTTTACCTGCCACGTATTATATATATATAAATGGGAATGTTCTGTTACAGATCTGTCACAACAAGTCCGGTGAGATCAACCCGACCAAAATACAAGCTCTAGTGGAAGCATACGTGAAAAAGTTCAGGAAAAAACACAAACGAAACAATATAGCGGACGCTAATGTTATGTATAATACATAGTGTAGTGTAGTGTAGTGTAGTGTAAGAGGGGGCGCACCCCACTAATGTACTTGGAGATGATTTATCAGATTATTGTAATTATAATTTATGTATGAACAAATGTATTTTACTTGCAACATTTTATTTAAATTGACATTATTGATATTAAAATATAATTTTAGATTTTATTAAAATGATCACGTGGATTTAATTGATACCTAAGTACTATCTAGGAACTTGAGAAGTTTATAGTTATACTGAGAACTCACATTTTTTTTTCATGGACGATAATGGAATGAACCGAAAAATAACCCCAGTGTATAAAATCGAGGTTCTGGAGATCAGGAGCGTTGTACTTATTGAATGAAATACAGTTATGAGGTTACAACCGTATATATTGATCTAAGTGCCTAAATAAAAAATTACATATCTATATAAGGAACAACAAAAATATCTTATTAGCGTGTTTTAGAAATATGTATGCAAAAATACAGCGCCATCTAGTTGTACTAGTATAAAACTATTTTGACTCGAACATACCGCCCACCAAGGACATAATGAAACAATGTCCTTTACAGTACTAAATATCCGCCCACCATGACAAAATGGGTCGAAGTTACATGTTTGTAATTAACTACTTAATAATACAGAGTATAAAAATATTGAACTATTAAACTTAAACACTAAATAAATGATAAATAAAACATTCTTTAACATACTAATCAACAACTGGTAGTACACACAATTTAGATGTTGGTCTTTTTATAATTGAACTTTTTGTCTTTAATGTGACTACTCGGGTTATGTTGTCATCGCCAGGATGTTTTTGAATAATACGACCAAGTAACCATCGACTAGGAGGCATATCGCTTTCCTTGACAAGAACTATGTCTCCTAATTTAGGTTCAGGAACTTGAGAAGCCCATTTATATCTATGCAACAGTGTAGTCAAATATTCCTGGGACCATCTCCGCCAAAAATTTTGCAACATTTTTTGTATAGTCTGCCATCGAGTCAATGAAGAAATAGGTGAGTTCTCAAAATTAACATCTGGCACAGCTACTAGTGGTTCACCTACCAGAAAATGACCTGGAGTTAATGGCATAGGTTCTTCAGGATCATTGCCATTTATAATAGTCATTGGCCTAGAATTTAGACACGCCTCAATTTGACTGAGCAGTGTACTCATCTCTTCATACGTCAACGTTGACTCTCCTATAACTCTTTTTAAGTGAAATTTAGTGGAGCGCACCGCTGCTTCCCATAATCCACCAAAATTAGGCGCATGAGGGGGTATAAAATGCCATTTAGTACCTTCACATGCTATATTTTCTGCAACCTTTTGTTGTATAACAAGTAACTCTTGTAATTCTCGAGCAGCACCAACAAAATTGGTGCCATTATCGCTCCATACTTGTGCACAGTGTCCACGTCTGGATGTGAAGCGCCTGAAGGCCGCTATAAAACCTTTTGTACTCATGTCACTGACGACTTCTAGATGTATCGCTCGAGTTGCCATACAGACAAACAAACAAATGTACCCCTTGTATGAATGATGACCCCTACCCTTCGATGTCCTAATATTTATGGGTCCTGCGTAATCAATACCAGTATGAAGAAAAGGTCTTGTAGGAGTACAACGTTCAGATGGGAGTGATCCCATTAGTTGGTTTGTCACCTTGTTTTTATGTTTTACACAAGCGATACATTTCTTGATGTGTTGTTTTACAAGACTCTTAACACCTACAATCCAATAGGCAGATCTTAAATAGTTTATCATCATTTGGATACCTCCATGCAGAGTTCTCTCATGTGAATCCTTTATTATAAGTTTGGTAAGATGCGATGCATGAGGTAAAATTATTGGATGTTTTGCATGTTCATCCAATGAAGACTTATGTAGTCGTCCATCAACTCTCATTATACCATATTCATCAATGTACGGACATAATGTATTAATTTTACTTCCTTTTACTTTTTTACTACCATTGCTCTTCAATTGTATATACTCTTCTTGAAACCACTTACTTTGACTATCCCTTATTAAACATTTTAAAGCTTCTTCTATTTCTTCCTTTTGTAAATACATAAATTTTTCACTTTTCTTATCCCTTTTCACTATTAAAAACCGTCTACAATAAGAAACTACTCTCAAAAGTTTCTTAAGGTTTGAAAATCTTGTCCATGGAGAATCCTCTATTATTGTTACATATGACTTAATTGTTTCTTCAATTTTTGTTTCGAAAGCCTTTGATCTATTGTACAATATTTCCTTTTCCCGTAAAAACTCTGGACCAGTCAACCAAAGCTTATTTTCTGCAAGTGCACTTGGTTGAATACCTCTCGAGGCACAATCAGCGGGGTTATTCTTCGATGATATATGAGCCCAATGAGATGAATCCAGTGTAGTTAAAATTTCCGATACACGGTTACCTACAAATGTCTTCCATCGACTAGGGTGACTGTTCAACCATGCCAGTACGACAGTGGAATCAGTCCACGCTCGTAAATTGGATTTCTCGACATTCATAGCCTCTGCTACTTCCACCAAGAGTCGAGCTAGCAAAACTGCGCCACAAAGCTCCAACCGTGGAATACTTACTTGCTTTATTGGCGACACCTTCGTTTTAGCTGCCAATAATGATACAGAAATGTCTCCGGTCTGACTAATTGTTCTTGTATATACAACTGCAGCATACGCTGCCTTTGATGCATCACAGAAACCGTGAAGTTCGACGTGATCACCAGGCTTCATACCGAGCCACCTTGGAATACGCACATTGGTAAGTTGTGACAACTCACCACGGTAAGTCTCCCATTCTTGTAATAATATATCCGGGACTACATCATCCCAGTCTATACCCGAAAGCCACAATTTTTGTATAAATATCTTAGCTAAGATCACACTGGGTGCTACCCAACCTAGTGGATCAAACAACCTAGCAATGTCTGATATGATAGATCTTTTTGTTACAGATCCAGTATCCTGTTCTCCCGGCGGCAGTTTTACAGAGTACTTAAATTTATCATCACTGCGGCTCCAGGTAAGTCCTAATATTTTTGTTGTATCTATCATTATGTCCTTTTCTATTTTATTCTCTCTGATATCTTCCTCTTGATCCTCGCTGTCCTTCCTTTCTTTTTGTCCTTCATAAACTTCTATTTGCTCTAATAATTCCTTATTATTACTATTCCACTTTTGTAGTATAAATCCTCCGCTTTTTAATAAATTATTCATTTCCTTGTATAACTCCACTCCATCTTTCACTGTTGAACATCCCGTCATAAGATCGTCCATATAGAATGAATTCCTGACTATATTAGCTGCAAGTTTGTACTTCTTTTCCTCATCTAGGGCAACTTGATGTAATGTTTTTACTGCTAAATATGGAGCAGATGCTGTTCCGAATGTTACTGTTACTAATTCATAATCTATAATTTCATTTTCAGGTTTATTTCTCCATACTATACGTTGATACGCAGCATCATCATCCGTTACTCTCACCTGGCGGTACATTTTTATTATGTCTGCTATTAAACCTATGTAGTGCATTCTCCAACGTATTATTATATGCCGTAAGTCTGACTGCAGTGTGGGTCCCACCATCAATGAATCGTTAAGCGACACTCCATTCTCATTTTTGCAGGACGCATCGAAGACGACACGCACCTTTGATGTCAACTTATCTTCTCTAATAACAGCGTGGTGTGGTAAGTAAACAGATTCATTTTCTTTTTCTTCTTTTTTTACAGGTCTCATGTGTCCTAATTGTATGTACTCCTTTATCACCTGTGTATACTTTTCTTTCAGCTTTTCGTCTTTTGATAATCTTCGTTCTAACGCTTTAAGTCTGTTCACAGCAATCGTTCGAGAGTTGCCGCCTACGCAGAGTGGATGTGAATCCCGAAAAGGTAAGTTTACTGTATATAGCGACCATCCTGTGCTCTAGTTGTCGTTAGTGTATAATACTCTTCACATTTTTGTTCTTCTTCGCTTAATATTCTTTGTGTGCTCGTAGTTTGATCTTCTATTTCCCAGAATTTTTTCAGTAAATCATTTTCATTTACCTGTGCATGCATTACTGAAATTGTATTTGAACTAATATCCTGACTTGAACTTTCCGAATTAACTATGCCAGATAGGATCCACCCGAAAGTGGTGCACTGAGCGACAAGAGTTCCCATCGGTGCTCTTTTCACACCTTCCTTTATTATCTGACTATAGACATCTGCCCCTAATAAAATATCAATTTTATTGGGGCGGTTGAACTGCGGATCTGCCAATTTTATATTTTGGAGATCGCTCCATTCCATTGCTTCTAGTCTCTTCTCTGGTAAGTAAGAAGTTATGTTCTTTAATACGTATGCTTTGACCTTTATTTTAAAGTTACTATCAGTTAATGAGTGCAAAATAAGAGTAACCATATGCTTTGAAATGATTGTCCTGTCTGCACTCAATCCCGATACTGTTCCCCTAACTGTACTCCTTTTTAAACGTAAATGTTGTACTGTGGCCTCCGTTACAAATGACGCTTGGGAGCCTTGATCAAGCAAGGCCCGAACTACCTGCAAATCTCCTGATTCAGACTGAGCTTTTATTAGCGCAGTGGCTAATAAAACTTGCCTAGTTTTGATGATTTTATTTGTCGATAGACATGACACTATTGGAGCATTGTCTTCTGAAGAATTAACACCTTCAGAGGATGTGCTCTGTTGCGCTTCCTGACCTTGTGAACTATTATTTGAATCATCCTTTGGATGCAAAAGCGTGTGGTGTCGTTTTTTACAGATACGACAATTGGTTGGTTTTTGACAATACTTAACCGAATGATTTCCCCCTAGACAATTAAAACAAATATTATTATTTAAAACGAATTGACGCCTTTGATCTGACTCTTGTTTACTAAATTTTCTACAAAAACATAATTTGTGAGCTTCTGAACAAAACTCACAACTTAATCTGGCACTGCTAAATTTTTGTGTTGCCAACAAAACCTTAGGATGACCTAGTGTATGTGAACTACTATGCTGTGCCAATGCTCTTTTTGGTTCGATACATTCCAATGCTCGAAATCTGCCTTCAATAAATTCTTTAAATTGTGAAAAGGTTGGTAATTCCATGGAGTTGTCACTAGAAATCTTAAACTCCCACTGTTTCCTAGTTTCCTGATCGAGCTTAAAAGATACGATATGAATGATGATCAAATCCCAAGTACTCACATCAATATTCAAATTGTTTAATGCACCCAGACACTCAGAAGTTGTATCTAACATTTCTTTCAGAGCCGATGCTGATTCTGTTATAATGCGTTTTTGACTGAAAAACCGTTTTAGAATACAATTGGCTAGATATTTTTTATTATTATATCTATTTTCTAATGTGTCCCAACATTGTTGATAGTTTACATCACTAATTGGCACATGTCTTACAAGCTGTTCGGCTTCACCAGTGAGATGGCCCTTTAAGTAATGCATTTTCTGCACGTTATCTAAAGCATTATTTTGATGTACTAAAGAAATGAATAAATCGCGGAAGGTTACCCACTCAGAATATTTGCCTGAGAATAACGGAATCGAAATTTTGGGTAATTTCACTAATGAACCAGCGACATTGCCATCATCATTACAAGCTGGACGGGTTAAGGTTACTAATTTATTATTCACAGTTTTCATAAGTGTTTTACATTCCATATATGTTTCTTCCGTATTATAATAAATATCATTTTTTACATACACTGAATTTTCTAATTTATCGGAATCTGAAGTCTCAATCAATTTTGTATTATTTTTACGAAAGAGCACCCAATCTTTGTCTACATTCTCTGATCTAGTTTCTATATATTCTTTTGTAATTCTGTCCTTAGGGGACTTTTTAAAATTAACTAAAGCTCTTTCAATAGAACGTTGTAAATCTAACTGAACATTTATTAAAGCTTCCATGTTTTATACAAATTATTCTTACTATAAAGTATCAATTGGTTACAATAATCAGTTTAAATTATGTAAACTCAAACCGAAATAAACAATAAAAAAAACTATAATATATCAAGGTTACTTCCAAAATAATCAATTAAAGATTGTATCTAAATTGTTTAAACCTTTTTTTAAAAAGTTGAAGATATTATCAAAATGAAAACATAAAACTTTCTTAGTTAATATCTTGTTTAAAATTAAGAACAATATATGTACTACATGTAAGAGAACTCGTAAAGTAAAAGTTAATATTCCATACAGAAGTTATCGAAAATATTCTAAGTTCAAGACAAATCCTAAAATTTTACAAGTTAATATTTCATACAGAAGTTATCGAAAATATTCTAAGTTCAAGACAAATCTAAAATTTTACAAGTTAATATTCCATACAAAAATTATCAAAATTATTCTAAGTCCATGAAAAATCCTAAAAATTTTACAAGTGTTTTGACAATTTTCAACCTGGCTGAAATCGGGCATAGATTCCTCGTTCCGTCGTTTTTTCTTAAATTATTCTAAGTGTCTACTAAATTACATGCAAATTATTCTATGTCCAAAACTGCTTGAAATTTTTCTATGTTTTCGATTTCTAATTAATATAGTTCAATTTTGCTTGGCAAATAAATAACAACAAATGTACTCACAATTGCACTTCACCAACACACACATGTATACTTGACTGATGTTTCACTGAAGATGATTGATGACGTCATGTACGACCAGCTCGTACATCCGCTGTACTTCCTCAGTGATGTCCTCGGTGTGGTGCGGGGCTGCGGGGCGGGCTTCGCTGCAATAGTCGGCAGGGGGAAACACTTCCCGCCGATGACCTATGGTACCCCTTGAACAGCGGTCCACTGCCCGTCGAGTACGAATAAACCAAAAACCTGACCAAGCCGTATCAATCCGGCTACGAAGAACCATGTATAAAATCGAGGTTCTGGAGATCAGGAGCGTTGTACTTATTGAATGAAATACAGTTATGAGGTTACAACCGTATATATTGATCTAAGTGCCTAAATAAAAAATTACATATCTATATAAGGAACAACAAAAATATCTTATTAGCGTGTTTTAGAAATATGTATGCAAAAATACAGCGCCATCTAGTTGTACTAGTATAAAACTATTTTGACTCGAACACCCAGAATTATGTTTTTTTTGTTAGAGGATGATAATGTAATGGTGCACCCATCTGCGCTAACGGTATACACTGGCGGGGCACCAGTGAAGGATGATAAGATGAGCATGAGGTCAGGTCAGTTAACCCATCGTGACAAATTCGCCAAGAATTTATCACGGTGGTTTCCAGGGGGAATCGCGTGGAGTCAACCTGACATGGTACATTGCCAGTAATGAGATCATCAGTCCAGATTAGTAACAATCCCTTTTCCCCCAGTGCGAACTCATTAGTCAAGATTTTCTGCCCCTTACAACATTAGCGTCTTTCAAGTCAAGAATGAATAGGCATTGTTTGAGCTTGCGTTGTTACACGCTTAGATTAGAGGATCCCAAACCAAATGGTATTTCCGAACCGATACGATATTGAAACCTTCCATAAAAGAGCTTATTCCTTTTTAAAAGGCCGACAACGCACTTGCAATTCCCCTGGTGTTGCGGGTGCTCATGGGCGGCGGTAATCACTTACCGTCAAGTTTACTAAGTAATTACAAAAAAAAATCTTAATATTTTTATCAGTTGTCTAGTACCCATAACACAAACTCTGCTTAGCTTGAGACTAGAAGACGTTGTGTGAATTGTCCTGAGATTAAATAAATTTATTGTGCAAAAAACAGCTACAAAATGGACTTAATTAAGTTTACATACCCAGTAGGTAAATATAATACAAGTAGTTTTTAAAAATTATTTAACACCAAGTTTAGTGCAGTAGTGTCTAAACTAGGTCAAGCTTGTATCTCGGTTACTATAGTCCTAATATGCAGTTACTAAACAATTTTTAAGCTTTGAAAGAAAATTAAGCTACTAAGTTGCACTTTAATAAGTAAAATCTGCCAATATATCGCCACTTGTGCTCAGGGAATAGTTTCATTCGTTTCTCCGTAACACCATTATGTATTGAGTTGTTTGGGCTATTGTCAGGTGCTTAGACCTGTAGCACTGCGACCTACATAGATCTATTGTGCTCGTCCTTTTTCAGATTCCCTACCTAGACCCGTTAGGGACAAGAATTGAAGGATATTTTTAGGAGCATTGGTTTTTATCTCCTCAGGATAGAGTGTATTTCCAAAGATTTTATGTTTATGCATGAGTGGGCTACAATCACATAGGATGTGTAGTTGCGTTTCCTCTTCAGTTTGGCAAATACTGCAGATTTTTGTTGTGCACAGCCGTAACACCATACTAACTGGAACGTGAAATAAACTGTCCGCCCAATGCCAAGCGACTGTGGCCTATAGAAATATACAATACCCGTAGAAACCCTCATAGGTACAGATCAGAAGCGTAAAAATTTGTTTGGAGGCCCTTACGAAGGGTAAAGATTACTCACAAAAGAAAAAATTGCATAAAATTAGAAGAAATATTTATTCATCATAATTATCAGTCACTTTATCCAAATTTTTTACAAACAATTCAAATATACACTCTCTTTGCTTTTTTTTCGGCAAACTCATTTATTAAATCACCAGCTACTCGCCCCGGCTTCGCCCGGGTTTACATGTATTATACATATAAACCTTCCTCTCGAATCGCTCTATTTAAATAAAACCGCTTCAAAATCAGTTGCGTAGTTTTAAAGATTTAAGCATACATAAAGACGGACAGACAGAGACACCGACTTTGTTTTATACTATGTAATGATTTAGCTTATGCCCGAAAAAAAGAATTACCTTTTTTTCTTTGTTAATGTGAAATAAGTCAAAATTGGGAAGTTAATTTTTGCTTACGCACATTGGGGGCTCCGTATAACTAATATACGGCGCCTGGTTGACAAATGGCTCCTTTTACCATCGAATTTTGGAGTGTGACAGCAAATGTATAGTTGGTAAGTACGACAATCAAATGGAGTGGAGTTAATAAAATAACATTGAATAAAAAATATTTTATTTAGCATAAAACAAAAAATTAAATTCAAGTAAATCTACATCGCGTTAAGGCATTACATTAGTCCCTATACAACTGGATGCTCTGGTTACATTTTGATATTGACGACCTCGGTGGTTTAGTGGTTTAGCACACCGTCTTATTTCCGATGGTCGCGGGTTCGATTCCTCGCACGGTGCAAACATTTATATTCATAAGTATAATTGTTTGTATCTAGGTGTTCTCGATGTATAATGTGTATGTATTTACGAAAAAAAAATATCTAGTACCCATAACACAAGCTTTAGCTAGCTTAAATTGGATCTAGACGGCGCTGTGTGAATTGTCCTTAGATTATTATTATTATTTTAGGTTTGCACAGCTTCATAGACCCTAGGTATTATCATATCATTGCTACTATATCTGCCAATGAGATAGGTAACGCATATGCACATATAAAATGAGTAATCACCTACATTTACTTAAACATTGTCATGATAAAAACAATAGTGCTTTGTAGAATAAAATAAAAATGTTTAGTCACAGCAATTTCATGTTTTTGTTCAAAAAACAAATACAATTATATGAGAATATCTAAATATTTGATGTACTAATGTTATGTACTGTAATACATATAAACACAACATATATATAAAATTCTCGTGTCACAATGTTAGTTTACTGCTTGACCGAGTTTTATGAAATTTTATATGCATATTCACTAGCTCAGAGAATCGGCAACTATTGCTCATACCCCTAAGTGATAAGGGTTACAATATTCCTAAATTTTATTTTTATTTTTTTATAACGTGTTGAAAATACATACAATATTTTCAATACATTATAAAAAATTAAAAACATCTTTTCACTTCCCAAATTTTCACTCTTCTATCATTGCTTATTTTTTAATAGTGATTTTAATTTATATGTCAAACCAACGTTAACTCAACTAGTATATTTATTACGAACTACTCGCCCCGGCTTCGCCCGGGTATACATGTATTATATATATAAACCTTCCTCTAGAATCACTTAAAAACCGCTTCAGAATCCGTTGCGTAGTTTTGAAGATTTAAGCATACATAGGGACAGACAGCGACAGCGACTTTGTTTCAATGATGATGTATTACAGTACATTAGACATCTAGTGCACCTATCTAGTTCATACACTACTAGTAACTCTAGTGATTAAATCGTTAGCCTCACAAATTAGATTTCTTTGGCTTCACTGTTTACAATCAATACGTTAAAATTAATGTTACAAACCACGCTATATGTTCGTCAAACACCTTTGATACAATATATAATGCTACGTTTACATTCAGCCGCTTCCCCTGCCACTCGCGCTGCGGGAAATATTGCCGGGTGACAACTGAGCGAGAGGGCTGAATGTAAAAACACGCTGCCACTCGCGCACGAAAAACCGACAATCGAGGGAGCGTCGGGCAGCGCGAGTGGCAGCGCCAATGGCATGGGAAGTGTTTCCACTCTCGCGCTGCTCACTTCCCTGCCCACTCGGGCTGAGTGTAAACTGAGTGGGCATAACATATCATTACAGATTACTAAATAATTTCGTAATGAACATATATAATGACCACTAATTAATATACCATATAATTAATTAATGACAACAAATAAATTACTGATTTTGACGGGACTTTTTAAGTTAAATTCCACGCGGACGAAGTCGCGTACTAGCTTCATATAATTTTAATAAGGAATCCATTTTCGAAATGCCCCCCGTGAAGTTGGGGCCCATATTGGGATATTGATGTATCTTGTATGGTAAGGGTGACTGTGTAACGTAGAGCGTGGTTACGTGGTGCGAGGTTGTGTTCAGACTGCGGGCGCGAACCCGAGCCGCTTGTTGCCGACGTCGAACTCGGTGTAGTACTTTCCGATGAACACGTCTCCGAGGATCCACAACGGGCCGTTGGGCGGCGGGATGTCCAGCCCCATGAACCCTGACAGGCACACAGTCTTGCCGAACTGGGACACCTGCAGATGGATACGGTACAATTATAAATTATATACGCGGTACACAAGCAAATACAATGACGGTCAGTTACGCACTGTTTAATAGTTAGGCGGACGCAGCCACCTCTGTAACTACTAATGGTATACGCACATTGCATATACAACATATACACTGTTACCTCCATGCGGTTCCCCCGGGAAACCATCGTGATAAATTCTTGTCGAATTTATCACGATGGGCTAACTGACCTGACCTGATACTCATTTTATCATCTTCCACTGGTGCCTCGCCAGCCCGCCCGAGAACTGGCCAAGTCAGACCTTAGGCTACAGTATATTATCCCAAGTTATAAGAAGAAATGATATTATATATTGTTATAAATACATTTCAGGACAGACCATTGAACTTGGCACCCATTTAGATCTCATCTCTTTTGTCGTAGAAGTCAACAATCAAGGCATATATCATAATATTAAACTCGGCTATCATTTCACATTTATGTTTTTGATGGGATTATTATAATCGGACGAATATGCGAAAAAAAAATGATAACAACTTTAAATCAATATTGAAATACTTGTGACGAGTGAAAATTGTATGATATGAAATGATCGGAAAATTTCATGTCATTGTCATTGTCGGTTCGATGACAGAAATGCTCTGGCTCTTTCGCTTGATTCGTTCATTGACCAGTTATTTCGGGTTCGGTTACGGTTACGAATATTGTTTTATATCGGATATCCGATAGTTTCCGTTACGGTTACGGAGCTCCATAGCATCTCTGCATTATAGCAGACATATATCATCACACTGAGCGAGCTACACGTGTGTCATCGAGATCGAGCCGAGTAAGATCGAAATCTTAAAGACCTTATAAAGTTCGTACGTGTAACATGTGATGGTGTACTCACTCTCAGCACATAATCAGCCCCGTTGAGTGTAAACTGATTCCCGGCGATGGTGAAGGAGACGGGCGGCAGGTGCGGGATCAGCGTGCAGTCCACGGCGAACTGGCCGAACGCGAGCGGAGTCGCGCCGATGGCCTTGTTCAGCGCCGCTATCTCCGACACCGGGCCGGCCACCAGGGAAGTACCAGTATCCGCGATAGCTTCACAACCCTGCGAGGACATTCACTTTTTTTTCGGACTGTAATGCTGTTGGCCGCAGCTGGCTTTACAGCTTCACCGGACGATAGAGGGCGAGTGCAGATGGCACTCCAAACCAAAAGGACTTATGGAGCGGCTGAAGGCCAACTCTCGCCTGACGGATACGCCTTTAGTCTGATGGCACCGCTAGGGTTCGAACCTCGGCTCGAGCCGTCGTAATTTCGATCCCCATTTGAATTAAACGGGGGATTCACTTTATGGTGCTCGTAATGACCAGTTTACTAGTATTATTTACTACTCGTATCCTATGGATCTATTTATTTATTTGCCAGTTTATCTGACATGCAAATTACAATATATATATTAAAAGTAGTATTATATAATATTAATTTTAATTATTATAGGACTATACTATTTTGAATGAGTGATAGTAAAAAAAATCATTTTCATCACAGGAATGAATGTGTAAGAATATTTGCATGTTGCTCTTTTGAATAAATGTTGTTCTAAGTAAATACACATTAAAAAGGATTAGGCATGCGACAATCAACATAAACCCGCTATGCACTCAATTTTTGTACAATCAGATAATATGTTCAGCGCTATGAATTTTAAGTTAGATTATTTCTACAAAAACATTATAATTTATAAATTCTTCAATTTATGAAATTGAAGAATTTATAAATTATAATGTAATAAACTTTGTAACAAAGAAAGTGTTTTATAAAACTTTTGAATCTTTTACCTGACGAATTTAGGACAGTTTGTTGTATGTATTATGTATTATAAACTCAAAATTTTATAAGCTTTTTTATAAAGGGTTACCTTGGCACAGAGGGTGGCGCCCTTGACCTGCACACGGTCCATGGAGAACTGCCAGTAGGTGGGGCGGTGTACCGGCACGTAGGTGAAGTTCCCGCGGTAGTGCGCCGGGTCCGAGCCCCCGAGGATGATCTCGCCGCCCTGCGCCGCCTGCGGGTCCCTACACCATCGCTCAGGGGCCGTTCAAGTATTACGTAAGCAGATTTATTATAATTACTTAACCCCCCATCCCCTTATCAGCAAAGGCAAGCAAATTTCTTACCCCTTGTTTACTTAAACATTTTTTAATTAATGTATTGTTTTTTTAGCAAAGAAATGTGAGGGGTGCCTTTCGTGTAAAAAATTAATGACTGCCTATGACGTAATCATCATCTAGACTCCCCCACCCCCCATGTCATTCAAAATAAGCAAAGTGAAAACCCCCCTCCCCCCTATAGTGTGCTTACGTAATACTTGAACGGCCCCTCACTCACGGTCTCATCACCACAATAACTATCATCATCAGAATCATTTCAGCACGGGAGATGTCCACTGCTGAACCAAGGTTCAGCTCCCCCATTGGGGGGTTATTGCCATAATCGCCACGCTTGCTATACGGGTTAGCGGTCGTGTAGTCAGTGTGGTGGTAATTCCTCAGTAGAACGCTGCGGCCCGTCCTTTGGTCGAGGAATCCCTCAGTTGCCTTTTACGACAGCTACGGGAAGAGATGGAGTGGTGCTATTCTTATGGCGATACCATCATCTGCTTCTTCCTTATCCCATTTATTTGGGTCGGCGTAATATGTTTTTCGCTTCCATTCATCTCTGTTCGCAGTCATCCCGTTATTTACTTCCTTTTCTTACCATATCATCTTTCACACAGTCGATCCATCTCTTTCTCGGCCTTCCTCTGCCCTTATAACCATCCACATTCATATGTAACACCTTCCTTAAAATATTATCCTCATTCCTACGCATTACATGTCCATACCATGATTACTCTTCGATTACTCTTCAACCTCTCTGACACCGGCGCCACTTTCATACTTCCTCTATTATATTCATTCTTTATCTTATCCATTCTTGTCACACAGAGTTGTTTTTATTATAGTCTCTATGTATGTGGGATTATATACCTGTGCTGATCGATTATTATTGCAACATAGTATGATATATTTAAATTGGTTACGCTGATATTTCTAACCAAAGCTAGTGCCAAGTCTCACATCGTTGGCTTCTTACACAAGTGTAGATCATTGCCTTGCCTTTATTCCATTATTCGTGGTCGGCGCAGTATGTCATTCACTTCCACTGCTCTCTATCAGTCGTCATATCTGAACATACTCTTCTTTTATTCATATCATCTTTCACACAATCCATCCATCTCTTCTTACGGCGTCTCCTCCCTTTACATCCATCCACATTAATATCATACACTTTCCATAAAATATGATCCTAGTTCCTCATGTGAATATAAATACGGTACATACACCAAAATGTAATTTTTTACAATTTTTGTCTGTCTCTCTGTCTGTTTGTTCCGACTAATTTCTGAAATATCTGGACCGATTTTGACGGAACTTTTTTGGCAAGTAGCTGATGTAATAAGGAGTAAATTAGGCTACTTTTATTTTAGAAATTTAAAGTTAATCACGCGGACGAAGTCTCGAGTACAACTAGTAATAAAATAAATTCGTAAGTACAAGTAAATCTTCTCCACAATTCATCATCTTCACAAAGAAGAAGTCAATTGAGAAGAACAAGGAACTCAGCGAGTTCATTTTGAATGTTTCTTATGCACTTGGTTACCTGTTGAGATAGAAGGAAAACACCGGCTTGACGAGTCCCTGAGACACCATGTTGTCAAACACCGGCGGCACCCCGTCCACGGAGATGCTGCAAAACCACGCAAAGTTGTACAACCAACCCATCATCATCATTACAGGACAATTCATAATGATATCTCAGGTTAATTCACAAGGCACCATTGAATAGAAATAGAAATAGAAATAATCTTTATTCAAATAAACTCATTACAAGCACTTTTGAATAGTCATATTTTGATTCTACCACTCATTCGGAATGCAGATTCATCACAAGAAGAATGAGCAAGAAACTTGTGTGTTGCTCTTTTTAATAGATGTTTTTTTTATATAAATAATTACAGTGTAACAAGTAAGAGGCATTCGACAATCAACATAGAAATCGCTACGCACTCATTATTAGTGTAATCAGATAATATTGTCAGTGCTATGTATTCAAAATTTTTCTACAAAAACATTATTATCGTTAACGAATTCTTCAATTTTATAGTAAGCTTTTTTGCAAAGGAAGTGTTTTATTTGACATTTAAATCTTTTTTTCTGGCAGATTTATAACAGACTCTGGTATTTTATTGTAAAACCTTACGCAATTGCTATAAAACGAATTACTAACTTTAGCCAAACGTAAGCTTTTATTGGTGCAATCACTAACTCTTTTGAAACTGTCTATATTCTTCCTGGCATACATGATATTTTCATAAATATATTGAGAAGCAACGGGTAGGATATTTGATTCCTTAAAGCACTCTCGCAAAGACTCCCTGGAACCCATACCATAAATGGAGCGAATGGCCCTCTTTTGTAAAATAAATATTGTATTTATATTTCAAATTAAAAAGTAATTTATTCATGTAGGACATTTTAGCCGCTTATGTATTGAGTATATTTGAATAAAGATTATTTCTATTTCAGATGCATCGTACCTGCTGAACGCCATGCCGAGGATGCCGTCGAACTTGGCTGCCACGAAGGCCAGGCCCGGCTCAGACATTGCTTCCGCGAAGGTCTGGTCCTTCACTGATATACCTCCCACCTGTTATGAACAACATAAAAAAGAATTTCAAAATAACTTTATTCATGTAGGTCTATTACAGACTCTTATGATATGTCAAATCTACCGTCAGTAGTAATAATTATATAATAATAATTTCGAGATGAGAATAACTGACAAGAAACTCTTCAAACAACTGTCTCTTTTCAAACAACTGTCGTACATGTTTATAATAATACATATTTATTTTTAAATTCAAATTTGGGAGAATAGAGTGACCACCTGCATATGCTATTGTAAAAGCAAATAGTCTAATCGGTGTTCGAACTAATTCATGTAATCGTTTTGTGAGTAATAAGCTTTGCTCAGTAAATATGATTTAACAGATGTGTTGAATTTATTAAGTTCAGTTCAGTATATAGATCCAATTGAGAAGAACTGGTAAGAAACTCAATTCTTCAGAAATTTGCCCGCCCTAGGCCTATATGGTCTATTCATAAATCCAGGAGTGTAGTGTACTCACTGTTAAATATTCTACGATTTATATGTTGATAAAAATAATAATAAGAGTTTATAATACCAATATAGCTGTATAGGATGTTCCTTGGTGTGGATAATTTCATAAAAATCAAAAAAGTAAAAAATATTATGGCGCCAAAATGTAAAAAACAAAATTTAAAAAATACATAATATTATAGAGACCTATAGCGAACTGTAGAGAAAAAATATATATTGTCATATTTATTACTGAAATACTGTTTTAAAAAGTTTTTTAAATGATGTAATGGTTGGAAGTACCTACAGTACAAGTATTTATATATTTAAGGCATCAAAATAAAGAAGTATATTGATTACAATTTTCATTGTTATTATAGAAAATTCCCTAATGAAACACTCACAGTAACTTCATCTGTGGAGAGGAACCCTGAGAGGCTGCCGGAGCCGTAGTGTATGGCGAATTCGGTGCCATTCTGGCGGTAAGTCGTTGACTTGCCGCTGTCGTACTTGTTGTGCAACACTGTAACAACACACCATCACGTCATCACGCTATCACCAATGACAGGGAAGGGGAATGTTAGTAATGCGAAATGTTGACTGTTGCAAACTATTTTATACCTTTTTTATTATGTATGTTTTTTTATAATATTACATTGTTTTTATATGACATAAGTCAATTTAATACAAAAATATTCTACAACTACAACGGTGCCGTTTTACTTTTTGCTCGTCATCTTGGTCTCCATCCTTCACATTTGGTCCTTCGAGCCGGATTTTTTTAAATTATATGTCTTGAATAATATTTTTTTTATTTCAGACAACTTAACAATAATATCTTAGGACAATTCACACAGCGCCATCTAGTCTCAAGTTAAACAGAGGTTGTGTTATAGTTACTAAACCACTGATATCAATAAATAGTACATTTTATGTAAATATATACATAAGAAACACCCAGTCAAACAATCATACTTGCGAACACAAATATTTGTACTATATCGAGATAAACAAGGCAATAAATGTAATAAATAATAATGCAAGGCGTATAAACATATTTTGCAAAATCGTCGTAGATTTCTCGAATATTCGTCGCTATTATGGAAAAGTGGAGCCTCTCCAGCACAGACATCTTTATACTTAAATAGCCTTCAACAACTGTAGAATGTAGTTGTAAAATTGTGTTATCTAAGTAAAGAATTCAGATTTTTTTTTATTGGAAATCTTTCACGACATGTAAATGTCGTAGTTTATTTCATCCATTGCACTACTGTCCCCCCACCCCCTTCGATCCCCCGTCCCCTTCAAACGGAGATCAAAATTACGACAGCCCTCAGACTAGTCATATCCGTCAGGCGGGAGTTGGCCTTCAGCCGCTCCATAAGCCTTCCGCGGGTTTGGAGTGCCATCTGCACTCGCCCTGAAGCTGTAAAGGCCAGCTCCGGACGACAGAATTAGAGTAGACTAAAAAAAAGTGTGTGATACTGACGGCAGGCGATGTTGGTGTCATACTTCTTGGAGGGCACCCACAGGT